AAAGCTGGGCGTGGTGGTGCAGGCCTATAATCCCAGCACGTGGGAGGCAGAGGCAGGAGGATCACTGTGAGTTCAAGGCCAACCTGAACTACATAGCAAGACCCTCCTTTGTGGGTTGGGGATTTAGCTCAGTGGTTTTGCTGCCGGTCTTGCAAGGACCCAGGTTTAAACCCCAGTACCAAAAAAAGTGACAGAAAAAAGACCCTGATTCAAAAAAAAGAAACAAACAAATATTAGGTTATTTATTGGCACTTGCTCTGTTTTCTGATATGGGAATTCACTGCTATAAATTTCCCTCATAGGACTGTTTTCACTGCATCCCACAAGTTTTGGGATGTTGTATTGGCATTATAATTTAATTGTAGAAACTGTCCAATTTCTTTCTTTTCTTTTCTTTTCTTTTTTTTTTTTTGTTGGTGTTTTTGAGACAGGGTCTCACAACTTAGCCCAGGCTGGTCTCAAACTCACAGCAATCCTCCTGCCTCAGCCTCCCAGAATGCTGGGATCACAGGCATGCACCACCACGCCCGGCTAAAACTGTCCAATTTCTTTAATTACATCTGTGACCATTGGTTGTTCAGGAGGATATTATTTAATTTCCACGTGTTTATGAAGTTCTGGTGGTTTCCGTTGCCACTGATTTCCAATTTCATTGCACCATGGTCTGATAATACGCATGGGAGAATTTCAGTTCCTTTGCATTTATTTGAGTGTGTTCTATGACCTGGTATGTGGTCTCTTTTGGAGAATGATCTTTGTGCAGCTGAGAAAAATGTGTATTTCGATGTTGTGGGGTAGAACATTCTATAGATATCTACCAAGTCAATTTGTTCAAAAGTTTGGTTCAGTTCTGATATTCCTTGTTGACTTTTTGTCTATTTCATCTATTTATTTGTGACAGTGTGGTATTGAGGTCCCCTGTTACAATTGTTTGTTTGTTTTTTGTTTTGCTTTGTTTTGTTTTGTTGGTACGGGGCTCCCATTACAATTGTATTAGAGTTTATTTGGTTTTTCATGTCCATTAATATTTATTTTATACAGTTGTGTGCACTGGTATTTGGTGCATATATACTTGTGATTGTCATCTTTTCCTCTTGGATTATTCTCTTTACAAGGGTGTAGTGATCTTTGTCTGTCTTAATCAGTCTTGGCTTGAAGTCCATTTCATCTGCCAATAAAATAGCTACCCCCGGGCATGGTGGCACATGCCTGTAATCCCAGCACTCAGGAGGCTGAGGCAGAGGGATCTCTGTGAGTTCAAGACCAGTCTGGGCTACATAGTGAGTTCTAAATTGGTCTCTACTACACACTGAGACCCTGTCTCAAAAAGAATAGCCACTCTTGCTTTATTCCAGGTTCCTATCACATAGAATATTGTTTTCCATCCTCTGACTTTCAGTCTATGAATTTCTCTTTGGATTAAATGTGTTTCTTGGCCAGGGATTTGGCTCAGTGGTTCAACCCCTGGTATACCTTTTTTTAGAGTGGGGGTACCGGGGATTGAACTCGGGTCCTTGCACTTGCAAGGCAGGCCACCGAACGGCTGAGCTGAATCCCTGGCCCTAAAAAGTATGTTCTTAAGGTACCTCCATTTGCCTGGAAATGTCTCAAGCCTATCCTCCTTTATGGCTGAATAGTACTCCATTGTATTGAATGTGTTTCTTGTATGCAGCCTATTGTTGGCCCTTGCTTCTTGATCATTTCTGCCAGTCTGTTTCTTCTGAAAATGAGAGCAGGGCATGGTAACCCACACCTATAACTCCAGCTACTGGGAAGCTGAGGCAGGAGGATCAAAAGTTTAAGGCCAGCCTGGGCCACATGGCGAGACTCTGTCTGAAAATTTAAAACGAAGAAAGAGGGAGGGAGGAGGCTGTGGATTTAGTTCGATGCTCCCTGGGTTTAATCTCCGGTACTGCCTGTCCCGTACACTGCGGTGAGATGTACTACATGCTTTTACAACAGGTAAAATTCGGAAATAAAAAAAAAGAATTGAGCCGAGTTCCAGGGCAGTCTCAACTACATCGTGAGACCCTGTCTCAAAACAAACAAGCAAAAAAGGAAAATTAAGAAAACTAGCCAGGTGTCATGACACACGAGTTCAAGGCCAACCTGAACTACATAGGGAGACCCTGTCTCAAAAAAACAAACAAAAAATATTATCATGTTAAACAGTGTAAGTCTGGAAACTGACTAAGGGGAATTAAAGTGACCCGACCATGGGGTACAGTACATGATTAAGGACCAGATCAAGTAGAGGAAGGGCATGTTCCTTAGGACTTCATGGGATAATAGAAAAATTGTGCATTTCTTGACTTTTATTTTTATTTTTCATTTTTTTGGTTTTTTTGAGACAGGGTCTTACTATGTAGTGAGACTGACCTGGAACTCACTATGTAGCCCAGGCTGGTCTCGAACTCACAGCAATCCTCCTGCCTCAGCCTCCTGAGTGCTGGGATGACAGGTGTGCACCACGCGGCCCTGCTTGCTCCCCTTTTTTTTTTTTTTTTTTTTTTTGAGACAGGATCTCACTATGCGATCCAGGCTGCCCTCAAACTCTTGGTGATCCTCCTGCCTCAGCCTCCTGCCTCATGGACTACTTCTTACTCTGTGGCCCCAACTGATAACCAGAACCAGCTGGGAGGGGAGCTGGTGTCTTCCTGCCACAGCACCCCCATCATCCTCCTCACCTTGCCCTGTGAAGTCCTGTCTTCTGAGACTTCTCCACACCCCCAATCCTGTACACATCCTCTACCTGTCTAGGTCTTGGGGTCCCCTTGCCTCCCTCCCAGGATGCCTCAGTTTTTACTTTTTTCTGGAGACGGGGTCTTGCTTTGTAGTCCAGGCTGGACTTGAACTCACTGGGTAGCCCAGGCTGGCCTCAAACTTACAGAGATCCTCCTGCCTCAGCCCCCTAGTGCTGGGATTAGGCCTCTCTGCCTCCCCTCTGACCCCCACATCCTAGAAACAGTGTCCTGGAACAGCAGGAGGGGGATGTCCCTATCTTCCAAGCCTGCTCTCTGCATCCCACCCTCAAACCTGCAGGGCTGCATATCAGGTGGCTCCTTGTGGTGTGAGCCCCAACCAGGGTGCAGTCTGGGGAGCACGGTCTGCACTCATGAGGTCTTGGGTTTGATCCTCAGCTCCACAAAAATATTAAAATTAAAATTAAAAGCCAGGCAGGGCTGGGGATTTAGCTTAGTGGTTCTGCCGCCTGCTTCACAAGCACAAAGACCCAGCTTCGATCCCCAATACCCCCCTCAAAAAAGCCAGGCATGGAGCCCACAACTCTACTCCTAGCACTTGGAAGGCTGAGGCAGGGGGGCTCCCCATGAGCTTGAGGCCAATGTGGGTTACACAGTGAGTTCAAGGTCAGGTTGAACTACACAGCGAGACCCTGGCTCAAACAAAGAACCTTTCTTGGCTGTGGTTTGGCACCAGAAGGACCCGGGCAGAGCAGGGAACCAGGTTTACACCCCGCTAACCTCCGCCCACGGGCAAGGGCCCAGGTTTCTAGGCAAACTCTCTGAGCCATTAACGGTGTCACCTACCCGGCAGTCCCTGAGTCCCCCGAAGGCTGAGGCCACCCACTCGCCATCACCCGGAGATGGCTGTGGGACTGCAGGATAAGAGCAGGCGACGGTTTCCAGGCGGCAGGGCAGCTCCCTCCCCCCGGAACTCACAGCCCACGTGGTATGGTACTTAACGTCCTGCTGGATCCCTGGCCACCAAGCCCACCTGGGGCCTCTATCAGGACTTGGACGGGAGAGACCGAATGTGAGGCAGGTGTGGTGCCCTGCGCTCCATTCCCGACTTCCATTTGGTTAAAACAGAGTCTGACTGTGTAGCCCAGGCTGGCCTTGAACTCCCGATGATCTTCCTGCCTCAGCCTCCCGAGTGCTGGGCTGACAGGCGCACACCATGCCCGGCGCCAGCCGGTGTTCAGAGGACCGTGACCCCTTCTCTACCCTAGAAGTGGCTGTGGCCGGGGCTCAAACAAAGAACCTTTCTTGGCTGTGGTTTGGCACCAGAAGGACCCGGGCAGAGCAGGGAACCAGGTTTACACCCCGCTAACCTCCGCCCACTTGCCACCTCCCGCAAGTGTGCCCTGCCCGGCTCACCAGACCTGAGACACAGTCAGGAAGTGGGGACAGCAGCGGCCCTGTGGGGAGGGGAGGACAGGCCCTGGTCCGGTCCGGGCAGTGCTGCCCAGATTGCAGCCGAGATACCCAAATGTTAATCACCAATTAGCCTGGGCAGGTGCGGAGGTGCAGGCGCCGTGAGTACAGAGGCCTAATGTGGCGGGAACGCCGAGATAAGACACCATTAGGTCAATCGGTATAAAGCAGCAGGGACAGGGACGAGGGGAGCAGAAGGGAGCCCAGCCCCAACTTCTGGAAGACAGCGGTAAGACAGGCTGAGGCCGGGTGGGAAGAGATGGCGGAGGGGCGAAGCTCTGGGGACCCAGAAAGGCTGGCCCGGCCGCCAGAACTTCTCCAAGACCAGGGCAGGAGCGCAGGGCTTTGCAGGAAGGGTTCCTCTCCGCTCCCTGCCTCTGCTGAAGGCCCAGCAGAAGGGCAGTCAGACATTAAGGGAGCCAGGTGTGGTGGTGCACACCTGTTATCTCAGCGCTGGGGAGGCTGAGGCAGGAGGATCACCATGAGTCCAAGGGCAGCCTGGGCTACACAGGGAGACCCCGTCTCAGATAAAGAAAAAAGCAACACAAAGGAGATCCAAGTCCTTTGTAGTCACTGCCTCTACCGCCCGCACCTCCACCTTCCTGAAGGTGCCGCCCTGACACCCAGCACAGCCCAGGCGCCAACACCTCCCAGCCTCTTGGATGCCCCTCTACTGACACTTTTCTTTCTTTCTCTCTTTTTTTATTTATTTATTTATTTTTTTTTGTGCCGGGGGATCAAACTCAGGAACTTGTGTTTTCGAGGAAGGCAGCAGAATCACTGAGTCAAATCATTTCTTTCTCTTTTTGTTTTGATTTCTTTCTTTGTGTGTTTCGTACCGGGGATCGAACTCCAGTCCTTGCACTTGCAAGGCAGGGGGCGGTGCCCCTGAGCTTCATCCCTGGTCTGGCCCTTTTCCTCTCGAAGCTCAGAAACCCCGTGGGCGATGGCGGCCGTGAGAATCTGCTCTCTGGTGCTGGTGCTGCTGTCCCTCAGTGCAGGGCTGGGACACAAGGGAGAAGCTCTGAGCAGGTAAGGGTGAGGGAGGGCAGCGGCTGGGGGCTGTGAGAAGGGGGAGCCCAAGCTACCCGAGAGGCTTTGCTCTGAGAAATGACTGTCAGCTGCCAGGGCACGGTGAGGACAGAAGCAGAGAGCGTTTGTTTTGTTTTCTGCTTTTCTGAGGCAGGGTCTCAATGTGAGTCCAGGCTGACCTGGAACTCACCAAGATCCTCCTGCCTCAGCCTCCCCAGTGCTGGGATGACAGGCTTTATTTTTTTTGGATCTGAGCTAAAGAACTGGATTAGGAAAGGCAAGGAGGGAAAGCAAGGAACTGTGTAATTCAGTCCCTGGGAATAAGCGAGACTCCTGAACCCTCTTTGTGCAGAAAACTGAAGCACACACGTGCAGAGACACACACTCAAGCACAGAGAGGACTCAGGAAGAGAAACCCTGGCTCCTCATTGAGGATCAGTCACCCCGTGTCCCCCGCTGTCCCCACTGTCTCTCCCCCAGACCCCAGGCCTGGCTCGGCAGCCCCCGAGGCCCCCGGTATGCAGAGGGAACGTTCATCAGCGACTACAGCATCGCCATGGACAAGATCCGCCAGCAGGACTTCGTGAACTGGCTGCTGGCGCAGAAGGGGAAAAAGAACGAGTTGCGTTTTGGGGCTCCCTGGCCCTGTCCCACCTGGCCCAGAATCCATCCAGGCGGCAGAGCGCGCCTGTGCGTGTGTGCGTGGGTGTGCGTGCGTGTGTGCATGTGTGTGTGTGTCCATCTTTACATCGCTTTCCTTCTGGGCGGGTCAGGACAGTCTTGCCAGGCTGGCCTCAAACTTTCAAAGATTCTCCTGCCTCAGCCTCCAGACTGCTGGCATGACAGGTGTGCACCCCCACACTCTGGCCAACCTTGTAGATTCTGAAAAGGGGTCACTGGTGAAGGCCAAGTGGAGAAAGAGGCGTCCTGGCTCTGAGGGTCAGGGTGACAGAAGATCCAGGGGTCCCTAGGTGGGGCCACATCTCGGTCTCCGCCCTCGCCTCTCTCCCCTACAGCTGGAGACACAACATCACCCAGAGGGACGCCCGAAATCGCAACTGGGAGCCGCCTGCACCTCAGGGGAGCCCAGGGGCAACGGAGCCCCAGAGGTGAGGGCTCCAGAGGAGCAGAACGGAGCCCAGCTTCCTGTCACCCACCTTGCCACCCCCCACAACAGGGCATGTGCCGCCATGCCGGGCTACTTGGCGGGTTTTTTGGAGGCGGGGTCTGGCTTTGTAGCTCAGGCTGGCCTTGACCTCACTTTTAGCCCAGGCTCATGTGAAACTCTTGGCGATCCTCCCGCCTCAGCCTACTGAGTGCTGGGATGAATGTGCATGGCCATGCCTGGTCTTCCTCTTGGCTCTGGCTGTACTGAAAAAGCCCGGGTCCCAGGATCTGAGAGCTGAGGGAACCTAGACTGCCCCTTGCTGTCACACCCCGTATCTGCTCCCCCCGGGGGTGGGGCTGGGCTCAGCAGGCTCCTGTCCTGCCCCCCACCCAGGACCCCTGGTGATGACGAGGAGCAGTTGAAGGAGCTGCTGGCCTGGATGGTGGAGCAGACGGAACTGCGCAGGCTCAGGTGGGTGCGCGGCCGGGCTCCACCTGGAGTTTGAGCTTCCGGGCACGAGGCACGCGCGGTTCCGCTTCCGGTCACGTGAGCTCAGTGCGTGTCGGTGCTGGGGACGGAGGGGTCCTTGGCAACCCTCCTGCCACCAAGCAGCACCCTGGTCTTATTCAGACCTTTGCCTCAACACATGAGCAGATGACTTGGCCTTTCTTTTCCTCTTTTTTGGAGACAGGGTCTCCATATGTAGTCCCGGCTGGCGTTGAAGTCAGCGATCCTCCCACCTCAGCCTCCCGAGAGCTGGGATTGCAGGCCTGTTACGGCATCTCAGTATTTTCTTTTTTCTTTATTTTTTATTTTTTGGTACCGGGGATTGAACTTGGGACCTTGTACTTGCAAGGCAATCGGCGGCAGCACCGAGCCAAATCCTCGGCCCCATCTCAGTGTTTTATTTAGGAGGAAAGCAATTTAAGCTTTTCACGGAGGGCTAGGAATGCAGCTAGGGGCAGGGTGCTCACCTAGTGTTCTTGGCTTTGCCTCCCACCCACCTCAGCTCTGACCTCCAAACCTATCTCATGGGATTGTGGTGAGGTTTTTTGAGACAAGGTCTTGCTCTGTAGTCCAAGCCCTGAACTTGAAGCGATCCTCCTGCCTCAGCCTCCCAAGTGCTGGGATCACAGGCACGCACTCTCGGCAAGCCTGACTGTAATCTAGACTTTTACATGGGGACACTGGGGTGGTGGTGGGGCTGCAGGAGAGTGACAGGGACAGGGGAGGTAGGCAGCAACGCCCCCGGGAAGATGGTGCCAGCTCAGCCTCAACTCCGACTCCGCAGGGAGGACACCCCTCCCTGCCTTTGTTCCAGGCCCAGGTCTCAGTGAGGACCCTGCCCAGCTTCAGTTGAACTCTGCCCTCTGCTTGCCCAGCTCGGGCTTCCGCCTTACTTCAGAATTCATGAGAGAAGCCAGGCCAATAAAGAATGTGCTGAAATAAATAAATCACTCGGCTATCCTGAGCTGATTCCGACGTCCGCCACGGAGCGTGCACAGGGCCTGTGTGTGGGTGTCTGCATATGCTTGTCCCTCCCGATGGAAAGAGACACATCTGAGGGCTGGGGGTTTAGTTCAGTGGCCCCGCACCTGCCTGGCAAGTGCAAGGTTCTGAGTTCAATTCCCAATACCAAAAAAAGAGAGAGAGCCACAACTGAACAGGGCACGGTGACACATGCCTATGATCCCAGCACTCAGGGAGGCTGAGGCAGGAGGATCTGCTGAACTGAATGGGGGTGAAGGGAAGAGGAAGAACCAGCCCCCTCACGCTCTCGTGGAGTTCTAGATGATGGGGGCTTAGACCAGGGTGGCAGTAGTGGGTGACGGGAAGCGGGCAGCTGCCTCAGTCCACACAGCGGGCTGCCCAGAACAGGGCCTGGCACGCGGGTCCTCAAGATCTCCGCTGCACCTGCAGTCGACCTGGTGCCTCCCCCCATTCAGCCCATTTGACCCAAACACACCTGGGATCCCAGGGCCTCACTGCTCCGTTCTGCACCTTACTTTCTTCGGGGGCTTCGAGTAAACAGATCATTGTGCCCGAGGCCCTCCTATTCCAGCACTGTGTGTTCTGAGGCAGAATTTCACTTTTAGTCTGGGCCAGACTGACATCTCAGTCCAAGTAGCCATGCAGCACAGGTCCGCCTTGAACCTGTGATCGTCTTGCATCGAACTGACAAGTGTTGGGATGACAGTCCTGTGCCACCATGCCTGTCCTAGAAATTCATTTTTAAAAGAGGATAAACCAGGTGTGGGGTGCAGGCCTGTCATCCCTGCACTCGGGAGGCTGAGGCAGGAGAATCTATGTGAGTCCTAGGCCAGCCTGAACTGAAGACCTTGTCTCAAAGACAAAAACACAATAGCTGTTAACTGTGCGTCCTCCTCGGAGAGGTAGAAAATTAAAAGCCCACGCAGGAGTCAGCCACCCTGCCACAAGGCCAGCAAGTTCTTCGGAGGGTGACAGAGAGGCCATGTGAGATGCCCAGACACCAGTGGGGTGTGGTGCCTAGGCCAGGGAGCCATTGCTGACTCATTCAGAATGCCGATGGGTAAGGAAGCACCAGGAAACTGAAACTGGGCGTGGTCGGAGAGAGAATCACCCTCAGCCCTGGCCAAGGCTACGCACTGGGTTCCCCTTTCAGCCTGGAACTTTCCCGGCAATCACTAGTCGCTTGGACAGGGAACTCCTGTCTGAAAGATCAGAGAACCCAGAAGTCTGAAAGGGGACCGCTTGCCTCTGAGCCAGTGGGGCTGGCCAGGCCCGCGTGCAGGCAGCTGTGAGCCGTGGGAGTGGGTGGGAACAGCTCAACCTGCAGCCCTCATGCCAGAGTCCAGGGCAAGGAGGAAGGGCTGGGTCCAGGCAGCATGAGCACCTCAGGGGCTGGATTTGGTGTTCAGGAGAGCCACAGACCACGAGGTCAGCACCCATGGCCATGACAAATTAGAGTGGCCACTGTTGGAACCGTAATTCCTGCACCAGACCCCAGCACACTAAGCTAAAAATCAAATCAGAGTCATCAAAAAGCCCCACCTCACCAAGCTGACACTAAGCTGGTTTTTGAGACACGGTCTCGCTGTGTAGTTCAGGCTGCCCTCGAACTCACTATGGAGCCCAGGCTGGTCTGCAACTCACAGCGACCCTCCTGCCTCAGCCTTCTGAGCTCTGGGATCACAGGTGTGCGCCACCAGGCCCAGCAAACTGAGCTGTTTATTTGACCTTTCAGGGTACTAGGATTGTTGGGATAACAGGGTTCAAGAGATATTCCCGAGCAAACCAGTTTCTACTGTGGCGATAACCAGGTTCCCGCTGCCTCTATCCTTAACGCTGAAAGTGTACCTGAAATAATCTGACATTAACCAATCAGTGATTTGCTTATCATTCCATCTCCCTGCCCCCACTTAACAAGGACTGTGACACTGAAATGACCAATCCACTTCCTGTTTCTGCTTTACTCAAGACTTTCTGCCTGTAGCCCTGACCTCTGTAAGTGTGACCTTCAGAACATTTACGCTTCTTTATAGGATGGAGAGCTGCCCAACTCTAGAATTGAAAATAAAGCCAATTAAGATTTCTGCATTTCTGTCTCATCGGGCTGGTGTTTTGTGCAAGAAATGGTGGATTGGCCTACTGGAGGCCAGTGTGTATGAGAGTATATTTAAAAGGCTGCAGCGTGTCAAAATAATAAATGTATTTGTTTAGGTACTGGGGATTGAACCCACCCAGGTCCTTGTGCTTGCGAGGCAGGCAGCAGAACCACTGAGCTAAATCCCCAGCCTAATACATTTACAAAATAAACCTGGGAGTGGTGGCGCCCGCCTGTAATCGTGAGGCTGAGGCAGGAGGATCTCCACGGATTTGAGATAGTAAATTCAAGGGCATCCTGAACTACATAGCAAGACCCGGTCTAAAAAACAAAACAAAACCCAAAAGGCTAGAATGTGTTGACGGGGACAACCGTGGCTTTTGCACCGTACAGAAGTTCGATGGGCAGCCGGCCGGTTCTAGGTGATAGCGGAGCATCGGTCGACCCGACCGAGCACCGGGGGTCTCAGGAGGACCTGGCCCAAAGCACCACAGCGGCGAGGGTCTGCGTCTCCTCGCCAGCCAACGAGGACTGAGATCGCACCGCCGCCCCCCGCCTTCCGCGTCACCGGGGATGCTCAGGCCTAGCCCACCAGCGAAAGGCCGGGCGGTTGCTCTAGAGGCCGCTCAGCCCGCGACCGGAAGTGCGGCCCGTGACTTCCGGCGCGCGCTGATGACGCTGCCCGGACTTCCGGGTTGGGAGTTG